CCGGCCATGTGCGTGCCCTTCTCTTGGATTCAGGTAGGGGGAAAAAAAGCCACAACATTGTTACAAAGCAGACCGCTCTGGGAGGGTGGGATTCACAGATTTTCCAAAAGACAAAGCAAAACAAAGCTCAAAGACTGTCAAGTCAGGTTGTGTGTACCTCACACGCTGCTATCACCGCATCCCTCTGCCCCTCCTCTATGCTCACCCACACGTCTTTGTATTCACTTATGCATCTACTAAGGTAGTTTTCCTCCATTTAGCTGTTTAGCTGAGCTCGGCGCTGGACATGGGAGCCCCTGGAGTGTGGGGATCTTTTTCCTTTGTCATGTCCCCAACACCTGCATAGTCTTAGGATGCAGTGACGCTTATTTCGTGTTGTTCAACTAACCCGTCCCACTCTTAGTGGGCGCTCTCCCTACCCCCTGCAGGGCTTCTCCTAGTGTATATACACAGGAGTGATCAGCATGACATTCAGGAGACAGAAGAACACAGGCTTCTCCTAAGTGGCACACTGGCTTCTGGGGAACTCCCCAAACCAAAGAACATGGCTGATGATACAATGTTTCATTGGCAGCCAGCAGTCTTGTAGCTTTCACAACGCCTGTTTCTCTCCTGAGCATCAGGAAATACTTTGACACTTTGTGGATAGACACCGATTCATCTTTTATTTTCTCTCTTGTGCTGAAATAAGGAGTGAGTCTAAAAGCAGCAGAAAATAAGCCCGCTCCTTGCAAGTAGATTCCTTGGACACTACTTTAAAAATCTGCACAGCAAGCTTCATGCTAATCACTTTCAGTGATGTTTGCCTAATGACGCCAAAGCTCTTACAAATTCATTATGAGCCCTCTCTGCTTCCCTTTTATTACTATGCTGTCCTTTTCTTTTTAATTAGTAATGCTCGGGATTCAACGCATAACTTGACAGGTAGCTTAAAAGAATATTTGTAAAAAGTTCTTTCCTCCACAAGGTCAAGGTTGTTCCCGTTATTGTTTATAATAGCTTTAATGTTCTCTGAATTTTATTATGTTTTCTCAAAATATTTGAGGGTGTTGTATTTTGGTATTTTTGGGTGAATTATAATGATTGGGTACTGGTCATTAGTTGCACATTTCATCCAGGCTGGGTATTTTGTGTTTCTCAAGTAGATCTCACACAGTACTGAAAATAATTCCTTGGTGGAGTTAAGATAGAGCACACATGGGGACTTCAATTGTAATCAGTGGAACAATTGAGGAGGACCTTCACATAAGCTAAATCTAGCAGTTTGAATTTCTGCCTTTTTTGGTTTTTACACCATTTTCTGAACTTACCTCCTATAACAGCACCTCAGTGACTCAGTCCAGATTCTCCCTAGCCCATCGGTATTACTGAAGAGAAGCACCTCAGCCCAGCCTCACACACCCAGTAATCTCGGGGTGCTGATACCTGCCGGTGTCTTCCAGAGACAAAGCCCAGGGTCCTTTAATCTCCTTCTGTTTGTAATGCATATGTACGAAAATGCATATTCAGTATGTGCTTTGAGGCATATGAAATGGAGTCTTAAAAAGCAATAATCCACCACCACAAGAAAGGGGTTTAGTTTAATGGGTCCCTGCAAACTATGACAGCTTCCCTCTTTCCCTTTCCGTCGCCAGCATGACTCCCGTTGTGAGATCCAGGTGCGCTGCTCCGAAGTCACTCGATCTTAGGTAACTACAGAAAAGCAGTCTCTATTAACGAAAGCCCCAGAATGGAGCACAATTCTTCTATTAACCATTTATTAAGTCAACGAGCTGAGAAATGACTTCATTTTTCCTTCTCATGTGCAGCAGTTTTATGCATTTAGCTGTATTATTCCTCGAACAGATGTGTCTTTTCAAAGTCCTCTTACTTTCCCATGAACGTAGGATTTTTTTCTTAATTGTATGCTTGTAGTCTTCAACAGCTTCTAAAGGTGTTTCTGAACACACCGCGGAGATTGCTCCATACCGAGAGCCGAGAGCGCCAAGTGACTTGAGCACCACAATATCCTCGGGAATGCGGGCCTCCCGCTCCCCACATCAAACGCCCAATTAGTGCGTATTCTTTGGCTAAATACACTCCTCTGCCAATGCAGCCATCGTCAGCGCTTTGATTTCCAAAGCCTTAGAAATACCTGGGAGTTATTTGAATGTGGCAGTATTAGAACTACAAAAGAGAAGCAAGAAGCATTCACAGTCAGTCAGCAAACTGCAGAATTTGACAGCAAAGACACTGAAGGTGGTATCTAATTCCCTCCACGTTAGTGTTTTGAATAAGTAAGCACTTTTATGCTTTTTTCTTTTTCTTTTTTCTTTTTTTCTGGGGGAGTGGGTGTTGCTTGGCAATTCCCTTTATCAATAAAAAGGAGCATTCACAAAGAATCAATGTCTAAAGCATCCCAGGCAACTACGATGACTTTTATGATTTCCGCCACGCCGAGCATTAACAAAGCAAACCTTGGCACTATACTTTTGAACGGTACCAATGGCAGCATGGCAGCGGGCAACCAAATCGATACGAATTTTTTTCCTCTAAGAAGGTATAATCAGCTCTTCGGTCACCTTCAAAATATGCTTTCCCTGGAGTCGAGTTACTGTGGGATCAAGTGACTGAAAAAGCAAGGAGAGGAAATAAACGGATGGTTCAGTGGAAAAAGCACGGTGCCACCGTGCTGGCCTGCCGCTCTGCCCAATGCAAGGTCATGGCAATTCAGTGTGAGCCCAAGTGGTTCTTCAGCAGCAGACAGCAACGGGCGTGATCCTGGCACAAGCCGGCGTTTGTCTGACAGCTGCATGTGCTCCAGCCAAAAAGCTGCAGCAAACGATCTGCCCGGTTCTGCTCTGCGGAGGAAGGCTCGCCCTGCAGTGCCCCACTGAGTCATGAGGTCAAGGAAGAATGCCACTGAAATCTTTAAATAGCCTTGGCTCCAGCAAGCCAGAGAGGCTGAGGCTACTGGAGTGTGCCTGTGTGTGCCTGGCAGGGACACACAGATCTCGGTGCTGCAGGCGGGGCGCGTGGAGGGGACTTCTTCAGCTGCCTCCCAGTGACATTGGTAAGATCTGTTTGCAGTGGTTCAACAGAAGAGCTCATGCACGAACGAACGTGCTAATGGAATTCTGGTATCTGATGTTAACAGCAGGGACTGGCTTCCCTCTTTTATGGCCGGGAAGATGGACTTGAGGGTCCATTGGGAAAATCACTTTTCCTATGGAGAAGTTATGTGGACCCCTTTGAGCAGCTCCACGCTAATGTTGCCTAAGCTCAGAACCCGAGAGGGTGCTCCCCACTGCCCCAGGGCTTTGCCACTCTTTCCCGAGTGGGGTGGGGGGTGGGGGATTGGGAGGAGGAGGGTGTGACTGGCTCACCCCAGTCAAGTCCTTCGGTCACTGTTCTTTGGTTACTGAGGACTCAGGGCTCGATCTAGTCTACACTGTCCAGTGTGTCATCCTGGCTTGGCCTTCGCTTACGCTTCCCTTCGGGAGGGATCATGACATGCTATATATTGTAGAAACCCATGAGGGTCTGTCTCTGTCACCAGACCATGAGTTCCTTGGTAGAAGCAGCGGGGCGCTATTCCTTTTGAACTCCCAGCCCAGTGTCCAGCCTGCAGAAGGTGCTGAGAAATGTAAGTTTAACTAAATTAAACTAAGGGTGTTAAGAAATTAGGCAAGCCTTACAGCAACTGCGAATCCCAAGTCCTGATATTGTTTGGTATACTCTGGAGAAATCAGCCCCCAAACCTGAGCATTTGGCTGGCTCTCCATTGATCTGAAGGGACTGCCCTTTCTTCACCGCCATCTTTTCTTTACAATTTCTTTACCTCTGAATAAATAGTTCTGTCTTAGGGGTTCTTGGCAGCTGACAGCAGTAAGACCGAACAACCCTGGCGGCAGGAACTCTGTAATTGCTCACCCGAATGTCCACCTTTAACAACAGCTGTGTACTCTAAGAATTAAAAACAAAACAAGCTTAATATTTTTACAGAGCCTTTTGTCCAAAGAGCTTTTAAATGTCACCAAACTCATTTTTTAAATGTCCACATGCAAAAGCAAAGTGGCAAATATTACCCTCCTTTGAATGTGAAAAGGGTAATTGCTCTTTTGTGTGTGACTTGCCTGTGCCTTATCTCCTCCTTCCTGCCATTTGGCCATTTTCTCCCCCAATTATTAGCCTCACCCCTGAGAAGACGAATCTAGCAAGGGAGAAGAGAAAATAGAATTGGCTGATTTAACCATCGGCTGGTGTCTCTGGAAAAGCCCAGGGATATGACAGTGGGTACCCGAGGATTGGAAAAGAAGGTTGAAACTGTGCATTAAAAACAGTTTGTATTTATTATCTGAAAGCCATCGTGCTATTCCCATCACTCACCAGCAGACGTAAGCATAAGCAGCTGGAGTGTTACTCTACTGTCATTTTAGAGACAGATTTCTTATGATTGTTTCCCCCAGAACTCGGGGTGGGGAAGCTCTGTCCGATGCGGTCGTTGCCATCAGAGCAGTCCTCCAGCTTGCTCTTTGGTCCCCAGTAATGTCTGATCGAGGCTGACCTAGGAGCACGCCTCACTGCAGCTCTCTGACGGCCGCCTGCCAGTTCAAGGGTTGAAACCAGATGGTGTCAGTGTCTCATACCATACTTGGCCCACAGCACATCCTTAGCAAATACATGACTTCTGAGTTCCATTGATCAGACCTGCTGCCTACTCTTCCAAGGGCTGAATCCCGCGGCGCATCGGAAGAGTCAGAATGGTTTCTCTTCGGAGAAAACCGAAGACCTGTTTCCATTTATGTTTGGGATGAGATGAACATCACATCAGGGGGCTTCTTAGGCACACACAGAGGTCAAAGCAAACACCTCCATAGAATGAGGGTTCCATACCATTCGGCAAATCTGAACGCAAGCACTGACCAACATGAACGGTTGGAGCAGAAAGCTGAGACCGGAGCGGTACCCAGCGGACAGGTGTCCATGAGCTGGCGCCAGGCCATGCCTCTGGGGCCCAGTTAGTTGTGCTTTTTGTCCTTCAGGTAACTGAAGAGCATCTCCAGGCCCCCCTCCACCAGCTCCGGCAGAGGCTTGGATAACGGGTTATAGGAAATGTGGAGCCCTTTGTCCATGGGATTCCAAGCAATCCGCCCCAGTCTCCACAGCAGGTAGAGCTCGTCCGGGAGGGTCTGGATGTCATTGTTGTTCAAGTTCAGCAGCTCCAGGCTGGTGAGCAGGCAGAGCGACCTCGGGAAGGAGTGGATGTTGTTGCTCTCGGCGATGAAGATCTGCAGACTGGCCAGACACTGAATGCTCTCTGCGATGTTTTCCAGGCGATTAGAGCCCACGTGCAGGAAATCCAGCTCCTTCAGCGCAAACACGCAGACAGGGATGTGAGCGAAGTAATTGTTGCTCAGGTTTAGCTTTCGCAGCCTGGAGAGGTCGGCGAAGCTGGCGGGAAGCTGGGAGAGGCAGTTGTGGGACAAGCTCAGGACCTCCAGGCTTCTGCAAGCGCTCAGCTCCGCGGGCAGCTCGGTCAGGCAGTTCATGTTCACGAACAGGACCTTGAGGCTCTTGAGGAGGCTGATTTCCCGGGGCAGGCTCCGCAGGCGGTTCCCGCAGAGGTTCAGGACCACCAGCCGGCTCAGCTTCCCCACGTCGGGCGGGAGAGCCCTGAGCTGGTTGTGAGACAGATTGAGCTTCTGGACCTCAGACAAGCTCCACAGAAAGTCGGGGACGTCCGTCATGCCCTTGGTAACCAGGCTGAAGCTGACGTGGCGCATGCCCCGCTTCAGCAGAGCCCGGGGGTCCTTTCCTGAGAGCAGACTGTCGTCCCACGGGGAGAAGGGCTGCCTCCCGCGGAGCAGGACCATCCCCCTGGGGCCCTTGTCCCTGCAGCGAGCGCTTGACTGCTTGGCTCCCATCTTCCTTCCTTTCCACTCACTGGCCTCTGGAGAGGCTGGGAGGGGGTCCCCAGCTGCCGAAAGCTGAGCTGTTGCCGGCAGGGAGCTCACGGAGGGGTCTCAGCGGGGCCTTGCAGAGGCCCGAGCCGCCCCGCCGTGGTCCTGCCCCAAGGGTGGGTTTAGGTGGCCTCTCTCAGAACAGCCGGACTGTAATGATACACTCGTCCCTGAGACTGCGGAACTGAACCGCTTGAGTCCCTCTGACTGCCACAAGGCAGCTGTCACTGTCATTCGGCCCCAGTTTTATTGGCCTGGTGTGTGTGCAAAGAGGTCACGGGGAGGCTGCACCTAACTTAGCCTTCTCAGCTTTTCTTGGATATTGGAGCTGAGCAGGTGATAAAGCAGCCCATCCCCAAAAAGCAGCAAAGTGGAGAAAGAAAGCCAACCGTGCAAGGGCCAGACTGTGTGCGTGGCCGCGGGAACTCATCCAGACCCCTTCAGAGTGACCGTGAGCTTCATGAACGCTAGTGACAGAGCTCTGTTTCCAAAGCCGCGATGGTCAGATGATATGGCGCACACCTGTTTTCAAACTTTGATGAGTTGCACAGTTGTGAAAAAGTCATGGGAGGAGTCTGGACACCTGCAGCCCTTCCCCCAGGGTTAAGGTTTCTGCAAGGCGCTTGTCACAGGTGACTCAGTGAGGAGAGGATGAAGGGGCCCAGACCCCGCCATGCTCATTTCAACCAGAGATGCTCTGCGGTCCTCTGCTTCACTCTGGGCTTCTGGATGGAATAAGACAGGCTTTACGTGTTCGAGTGGCTGCCTTAGTAAGGTTAGCATGGGGTGCTCATTGTCCTTGAAGAGCAGCGTGGATCACCTCCCTGGAACACATCAACCAATCAATCTCTCTCTCCCCCCTCCCTCCCTCCTTCAACACACTCTTTCTTGAATTAAAACGGTTCATTTATACCTCTAAGTATGTAGTGTTAACTGTTGGCATCATGAGCTGAAAACCGTGTCCCCCCAAAATCAAGTGTTGAAGTCCTAACCACCCCCCACCCCCTTGTACCTCAGATGTGACTGTATTTGGAGATAAGGCCATGTGAGGACACAAGGAAGAGACAGCCGTCTGTGAGCCAAAGACAAAGGCCTCAGAAGCAACCAATCCTGTTGACACCTTGATCTGGGCCTTGCAGCCTCCAGAAGGATGAGAAAATAAACTTGTGTTCTTTCAGCCTCTCAGTCTGTGGTGCTTAGCTACGGCAGCCCTGGCAAACGTTGGAGGAGGAGGCGGACACTTTTGCATAGGTCGTAATTAAGGAGAGAAGGGATAGTAAGGGTGAGGACCCAGGTTCAGAGAAAGGGCTTGTGGTCTGGAGCGAAGGCTGGCTTGGTTCGGAAGCATGTGGCTTTTGCTGGCAGCCCTTGGCACAGCGGTTTATATCCTGGAGAGCGATGCTGGTCCTATGACTGTGCTCTCAGAGCTGCGACCACCAAGCCAGGACTGGGAGCTGAGCCCCAGTTGCACACCACCCGGGGGATCTGCAGGTCCCTCCACACCCTGGACAGGGGGAGCAGTGGGAGGTGCAAAACCAGGCAAGGCTATTTCTCCTTCCACTAGGCATTGACCCAACAAGCCCCCTGGGATTCTTGAACAAAGGTGGATACTTTGGGCATTTTTTAAAATGGAGTTCTTGAGTATTCTAGTTATTACCTGGGGTGAGTTTGGGGTAGGGGGAGGTAATGGGCTAAATTTGTACCCTAAGTTTGGGAAGCATGTTATGCCTTATATGTGTAGATTTTATCTGACAAAAGGGTTCTGCTGTTATAAAATTAGATATGCATCCTCTTTCCCTCTTTCCCTCCACGAGCATGAGAAATTATATTAGGGTTCCAGAAATATGGGAGCTGAGATGGTCCTGGCAAGAATCAACAGCTTTCTTCTTTGTGGTAATCCCCCTCCTTCCTCTTAACATGTTCTTTTCCAGTAAATGCTTTTGAAACACTTATCAATAGCCAACGTTTATCTCACGTTTACTCTGTGAAAGGGATGGCACTAGGGGGGCACGTGGCGGGTCCCTCGATTAAGCGTCTGTCTTAGACACATGATCCCTGGGTCCCAGGATGGAGTCCCGTATGGGGCTCCCTGCTCAGTGAGAAGTCAGCTTCTTCCTCTCCCTCTGCTGCTCCTCCTGCTTGGGCGCTCTTGCTTTCCCTTTCAAATAAATAAAATATATATATACATATATATATGTATATATGTATATATATATATATATATATTTTTTTTTTAAGGCACAATACTAGGTACTGCGCAAGCAGGATGGGCATTAAAATCATCTCAGTTTTACAGATAAGGAAGCGAGTATAGAGAGGCTACTTAGGCACAATCAAGTCACTTGCCCAAATTCAAGTATCTTATCAATGTGATAATCAGAATTCAAACCCAGTTAGTCGGACTCCACAGCCCAAGCTAGAACCATAAGAAGACTCTTGGCTTAGCCCGGTAGTAAGACGGAATCAATATAGCCAGGACATGGATTTCTGTTTTCAAGTTGCTAGGACTGAAAGAAACACGGATAAAGAAATGACTACATAATTACATGCATAGAAATAACTACATAAATTGGCATTAACCCTTCTCAGTCTACCCCCCACAGGACAAATAAGAAAAGCAAAGTTAAAATGTCATCCCAGAACACGTTGGCATAAGGAGTTTGATTCCTTCTAAAATAGCCCGGTTCTTCTCTAGCAAAGTTCTTATTTATCAAATGAACGAACTACGTGAATAGCTGACTGTTTCTTCCAAGTTTTGAAATGTAGAGACTGCCCAAGTGGCCACCTCAAGGGTGATCGTTGTGTCTGGATAGTGTCCTCATCTGCAAAACGGGCTGCGGCAGGGTGATCTCCCCACAGCTCCTTCTCACTAGGCCATTGGGATTCTCACTGCAAAGCAGACCACCCTAGGGAAGTGAAAGATATTTAACCTTTTTTCTGGTGAAAGCATGCAAAATTCAAGGCAACTTTTTTTTTTTTTTTTTTTTTTTTTTTTTTTGCTTGCGTTACGATTGGTCCCTGGAGAATTAACAGTAAAGGGGAATGCTGTTGGCTTTAGGATTTGCTATGCAGTTTGCATATCAGAATTGGGCCAAGAAAGAGACTTCCCAAGGCTCTCTGAATGAAATTTGGTTTGGAATAAGCCTCAGAATAAAGCTTTGTTGAACAGATCTTTGAAATTCCGAATCATGGTAAATCATGTGATTGTCTTTAACACCTAAGGAAGTTATGGAATAATTGAAATGTATTTAGTATGCTCAATGTGTTTACTACGTTTTTGTATATTCTAATTGACTCCTCTTCCAACGAATGAAAATCAACATTTATGATGTCTCTAGTTTTAAAAAATAAAATTAAAATGGTGAGAGTATAAAATCGTAGGTTACAAAAGCACCTACAGCTGCCCCTTGAATTCACACTAACGGTATATCTACTGAAAACAATTCTTTTTATTCTCACTGTGGCTTTCCAGCTTATGTCTACATATCATGTCTCTTAATTTGGAAGAAACTAATGTGTACTTTTAAATAGTATGTTAAAACAACATTTTGCTAATTTAAGATTTTAAAAATAGAAACTATAGAAGAGTATAGACAATCTGGTTAGCCTCTTGCACGTGGAAAGGTAGTTCTTTCTCTCACAGATATTTACGTCCATGTATTTTCTTTTATCAAAAAAAGAAAAAAAAGATCTGTCTTAGTGCAGGTTTCCTCAGAAGCCGTGCTTGAGGCCAAAGCTGTGGGCTAATGTTTTACTGAGGAGTACAACTGGGCAAGTAAGTAAGGGGGGAGCCTGGGGAGTAGGACGGGAAGGGAGAGCAAAGTCAAGCTGTGCACTCAGAGCCCGACACACTCAGCATCAAACGCAGCCCGTCGCTAAGTTTGCAGCCATCCGCAGAGAGGCTGTGTCTCAGAACAGCCTGTGGTTAAGCATCTGTAAAATACATGTAATAGGGAAACTGACGTATGCAACACAGTTACGTACATGGTTAATAACATTAAGTACATTAATAACACATGGTTATTAATGGTCTATGACCCACAGGACGGTGATGGTACATGGCACGACCTCAGGGTCAATGGCCCCAACACACCCATGCACACCCATGCCTGCTGCCTGTTTACTGAACACACTGCATGTTTTTTATTTTTATTATGCTCTTGTTCATGAACTTAATACTTTTTTTCGAGGCCAGTCAAACCTGTGTTCAGGAAGCACCCCTCTTTCATCTTTCACTCACCTTTTACTTAGAGAGTATTGACTTAGTGTCCGGAGCTGTTTTAGACCCTGTTAGATAGTCTATCTCATATTTAAATGATGTGGGAGGGTGATGTTGCTAACTTCACTTTCAATATGAGACAGCTGAGCTTTGGTGGGGTTTGCTGATGATGATTCAGGTCACAAAACCAGTTAGTGGCAGTGACCATCAACGCCTGGGTTGTCTAGACTAAATTCTGTTCTCTTCCTACCAAGTGCCTACCTTGATTGCCTCTGCACAGTCTTTTAGTAAAGTAGTCTGTTACTATTCTGATTAGAACACATCCCAGCCTTCCGGCCCACAACCAGCTCAGCAGGAGGCAGACAGCTTGGCAGTCAACGTCATGGGCCCTCATTTCTGTGGCTGACCACCTTGGGTCATAATCCTGACTTTATTACTGAAAGGTCGTGTCTGTATTTCCATGTCTTTATATGTGGGCAAACTACTTAGCTTATCTGTATTTCCATGTCTTCATATGGGAAGAGGAGACAGTCACAGTACCTATAAGGTTGCTTTGGGAATTAGATGCCCATATACACATGAGACAAAGAGAACACGGCTCCATGCCTTTGAACACCACAGCTTGGGGAAGATGGCCAATTCCACTGCTTCGTCCAGGGGTTCAAGTGCGAGGAACTTCACCGTGACAGGGCTAGCCTGGTCCCCTTCCTCTCCTGGAAACTTCCCTTGGCCCAAGTTTTCAGCT